GAACCATCCAATCCAAACTGGGCTATCGACATTACATGGTAAAGCTTGACTCTGGACGCTTAATTAAAAGGCACATCAATCAACTCATAAGAACAAGAGTACCGCCTAAAACGACAAATCAACGGGAAGAAGATAATCAAAGACGCTCCACTAACCAACAGTCAGAAGATATTCAAAGACGTACTGTTAGGTTCAATATTCCAGGGATACCAGCATTACAACGCTCTCCAAACAGTGGTTCAACCATTGTCGGTCGTACGCTACAACGGCGTTCCACGACTGGTCAAATACCAGTAGTGGAGGCTCAACATCCTGAATGTGGCATCCATTTTCCTGATGAAGTCAGAATTCAAGATAAATCACCTCGACGTTCCACGACTGGCCAAATACCGGTAGTGGAGGCTCAGCATCCTGAATGTGACATCCAGATTCCCGATGAAGTTGAGTCACCTCAGTTACGTAGGTCAACACGTGTTCGACAACCGCCAAGTTACCTTGAGGCTTATGTGTGAGCTCAAAAAAATTATGTGGGGAAGATTGTTATAATTTCTAATAGACTGCATTTGAATTACCAGCTGATCATATGATCTTTATTCTTTTTGATTACTATTGTTTATGTTTAGTTTCTATTCTATGTTAATGGAATAATACACTTTTTTATCTGATTTATCTTTTATTATGTTATAAAGAGTTACAACAAATACCTAAACAGTTTTGGCATTATTCTAGAGGTTAAATACCTTATTGTTGCCACTGTAATCCTCTGTCGTTTGGATGGCGACCGGTTTCGACACTCATGGTGTCATTGTCAAGCCTTAAAGACGTGTTGTTGCTGCTAGGAGGTTGTCATAAAGTCTTAAAAAAATACACGATACAAGCACAAACATATTTACGAATGAATAACACAGTATGGCCATACAAGACACTAATTTTCATGGCGTGGTTGCGGGTTTCACATTTCATCAAAGTCAGATAATTTTTGCTCGAGTTATAGTGCTAAGGGACACATATAAAAATATATTAATTTGAACGGATAGTGTTTTTTGCCTCTGGGGACCTCAAAAGGAAACAGTAAATCAATCCCGGGTCATATTTAACGACCCAGGTCACCGTAAACATATTTACTGTCTGGATTTTAAGAATGCATTGATGTTGACTAAAAGTTTTATGAACATAATAAATAATATTGATCCATGCAAATAGAAGTTAAAACTAACAATTTTAATCAGGTGTTTTAACTAGCGAAATCAGAATAGTAACTTAACTTAATTTGATAAAACGGGCATGAAAATTAAACAAGTGATACAAATAATGTACTACAAGTCTTTATCAGCTGACGTACCCCCTCCCCCAAGGTCAATGTCACCAACTGGACAATGGATAGTTCTGTCGTGTCCGCCGTGTAACCTGCGTCGGTTTGTCCCGTATTCAATGTGGCCGGCCAATCGTAAATGTATTTGTAACTTTTGTTTTTAAATGTGTAAACTTTATGTGTCGTCGACCTGCATGTATACATTGATGAAGACTTACGTCGGATATTTGACCATATTCAATATGATGTTTTAAATAAGGATTTGATAATGGGTTTTTGTACCCGAAACTAGTCATCCATAGACAAGTTAAGACTGAAGACGGAACAAGGTACGTAACCTATTATGTGTTCAAATAATGTTGTCGCCAATCTTTGGTTTGTCATAGAAGCTATGCAAGAATGATGTACGCCTCATAATTGGCAGAAATTAGACGTTATAAATTTACTCTGTATTTTGACAGCCTTACAATTGAGATCAAATTTTGAAAATTGGTAGAGATTATGGTTATGTTTATTAATATTTGTTAAAGTTAATACATTTTGGATGAAAACTGGAAACGAAACATGAATAAGTTAGTCAATTACTACTAAGATTGTGTGTTGTTGGTCAGAGAAGTTTTGTCTTTGGTAAAGAGGTAGATAAATATGTTTTTCTTAAATATATGTTTTCTGTTGTACTTAGTTTAAAAAAAAAAATTGGGTAGAACTTATTCCGCATTAGAAGGGTGCAGCGGAGAGCGTAGGTGCCCTCTGCCATTCATAGCATCGCATTCTCAAAGCTAATTACTGTAAATAGTCTAAATCAAAGCAGGTTGTTTCTTTTAATAATTGTCCTTATTTTTATTAGTTTTGTAGCAAATATTGGTTTATTTACAGTAAAAGAAAATCTGTAAATAGAGCATTTCTGAAGCAGGAATTATGTAATTTCAATTTCAAATGTTAAAAACAGTAGCCTATCTTATTGAGCGAAGCTCTTATACGTCGACTCTTATGCATTTCGTAATACGCAAACTTATGACCATTAGATAAGGTTATTTGCAATCCTATGATGCTATGGGAAGGGAGGGAAACAGGTCCATGTCGTAGGAAGTGGTGAAGGCAAGCAGTCCGGACTGTGGGAACTGTTTGTGTCAATTAGATTAAGGTATCTGCAATCTTAAAGTGCTATGGGAAGGGAGGAAAACGGGTCCGCGACGTAGGAAGTGGTGAAGGAAGTAGTCAAGGCAAGCTGTCCGGAGTGTGGGATCTGTTTATGACGATTAGATTAAGGTATCTACAATCCTAAAATGCTATGGAAAGGGAGGAAAACAAGTCCGCGATGTAGAAAGTGGTGAAGGAAGTAGTCAAGGCGAGCTGTCCGGAGAGTGGGAACTGTTTATGACCAATAGATGATGGTTTTTGCAATCCAATGATGCTAAGGGAAGGAAGGGAAACAGCTCTGTGACGTAGGAAGTGGCGAAGGAAGTAGTAAAAGCAAGCAGTCTTGAGTGTGGGAACTGTTTATGACGATTAGATTAAGGGATCTGCAATTCTAAAATGCTATGGGAAGGGAGGAAAACAGGTCCACGACGTAGGAAGTGGTGAAGGAAATAGTTAAGGCGAGCTGTCCGGAGTGTGGAAACTGTTTATGACGATTAGATTAAGCTATTTGCAATCCAATTCTGCAATTCTAAAATGCTATGAGAAGGGAAGGAAACCGGGCCAACGACGTAGGAACAGCTGAAGGAAGTAGTAAAGGCTGTTTAACCGTTTGCGCAGTTAGATAAATGTATCTGTAATACTTAAATGCTATGAGTAGGGAAGGAAACAGGTCTATGACGTAGGAAATGGTGAAGGGAGTATTAAGGCTAACAGTGCAGAGTGTGGGAACTGTCTTTGGCAACTACATTAATGTATCTGCAATCCTAAAATGCTATGGGAAGAGAGGGAAACAGGTCCACGACGTAGGGGTGGTGAAGGAAGTAGTAAAGGTGAGCATTGTTGAGTGTGGGAATGGATTAATGTACCTTCAATGCTAAAATGCTATGGGAAGAGACTGTAGACTGTTTGTTAAAATGACTACGAAGCACGAATCGATACACATTTTTGATACATGCAATCTTTTACAATCGAAATTTACAACTGGGTTGACAACAGCTGATGTCTACTCCATAGAGGGTTAACACGATTTTTACTCCCTAAAGAGTAAAAATACTACTTTAGACCCACAACTCATGCATTAAAAACGACTGTTTTTACTGCAGTATGACAAAAACAATATAATATGAATCCTTGATGACTCCGCTCAATTTTGTGGATGCCTTTGCGAACGCCACCTAGTATATAAATACAGTGATTTCCTAGGCCTGTACGGAAGTCAAGTCTGTACAGGGCAGTTTTCAATAAATCTTGCCTTTGCGATTTAGGTATATCACAGTCAAGAGTGTATTTTACTTCAGGCTGTGGTGGACCTAGGAAAGACAGATTTTTTTACTCATGTAGGATTGTCAAGAGTTAGAACCATCGATGGCTTGCTGATTGAGCCATTTTCTATAGACAGAAAAAGACCAGTAAATGGCAAGGACAGAAAAAAGAGATTGAAAGACTCAACAAAATGGCTTACAAAGACATGTTAAAACAATAGGGTTTTGTATTGATCAACAAAATTTAGTTTTGTTTATATGATATAATCTCCCTATTTTTAATAAAATTTTTGAAGGTTATTTGTTTACATCGTTGCTTCCGCTCAATTGGCAGACATGAGGCCGCATCCTGGTAATTCATGTAATTAATGTGTTTTTAAGAAAGATAATTGAAGTTTTGTACTAAATAATTGCTCTGCCTATGTTTTGCAATGGATTGATAATACAGGAGAGAATAATTTGGTTCTTCAAATGTACAGTTATATATACTCCCACCTATTGTTCATTTCAATAAAGATATTTTAAGTGTATATGTATTTTTAATTAGTTGTTTGGCAGAATCAAAATTAAAAGCACTTTGAGGTAATGTAAACATAGAAAATCTTACTAGTCGCCCTAACATGTTTACTAGTTGCATATAAACAGACAGTTATAAATATAAATAGTTATATAAAGTGGCCGTTTTAGGATCTTGTCAAAGGGGGGGGGGGTTTAATGGGCCTGGGAGCCCAAGGGGTTTTTTAGAAAGAAGGAGGGTCTGGGAGTAAAAAAAATGTGTAGGCCTACCTATTTTTAAAGCCGTTGTTTGTTGTTTGTTGTTATTGTTTCTGCAGCCATTTTAAACGTCTAGAAGTGTGTCCAAAAACCTTTCTTATGTTTGTAGGACAAAATTTGTGTTTAATTTTTTTCCAGGTTCCAATGGGGGGTTTGGCCACTATAGCCGCCCACCCCTCCCTTAGAACACCCACTGGTTATAAACAAAACCATTGTTACAGCTGATGTATATTCAATATTTGAAACGTGATTAAATATAATCTCTTAAATTAAGTTTTGTGCCCTTATGAAAGGGCTTATCCAAAAACTAACATTTAATGGCAAATATTATCAAGACCTTTCATTTAAGTGTGCTGTGCGTGGCTTATGGTTTTCTGAAGAGTTTGTTTTGTGTTAAAACATATAGATGTTAAGTAAATATTTTAACAGTGTCTCCTGTTTTCTCAGCTGTGCTGGATTCTTGCAGGTGGAAATAATGAATGTAAGGTTCATGGTTCTTGTCCAATTTTCAGATTCGGAGGGCCAACCTGTTTCTCTGATAGTTAAAGTCAAAGGTGAACAAACTAAGTTTGTTATTTCTGTGAAGAACTCTTTGGCCATTGTCCATTGGGATGGTTTGTCCACAAAGTCTTTGAAACCTGAAGTGATTGTGAATTTGGAAAGCAGTGACAATCCAACGAGAATAAATGATGGAAAGTGTGATCCTTCCAATCGCCTATGGGCAGGTAGCCAATTGGTGTTTTCTTACTCATTAAAATTAATATAAAACGTAGTCTCTTGTGAAGTCTTTAAGTCCCTTTATGTTATTTATTTATCCTTTTGAGCCCCATGGAGTATTTATTGATTTAATTATGTATATTTTTCTATTTATGAGCCCAAAATAATTCTTGTGAACTAAGATTGTAGTAGAAAAACACTCTAAGTCACACACGCTAAGTAAACACTTAGCACATTAAGCCTAAAGCCTATTTTCGTATTTCTTTGTTTTTATTATTTTTTAGGTCCTTTTATGTATTTTATAATACATTTATTTCAACACAATATGCCCATTGTCTAACTACTAGTAACACTACAATGCTGGTAACCCAAAGCCCAAGCGTAATTTTAAATTTGACACTCAGGATACAGCATATGACAAATACAGCTTTCAGCCATGTTTGTTGTGTTTTCATAACCGGAATTATTATCCCGAAAACGGGATTTTTAAACCATGAGCGGGATTAAAATGGGATGCGGAGGGTTTTTGGCTCTGATGATATCTGTTTTTATTTTAAGATAAAATCTAACCTCAATAATGAATTAAATTAATGTAACTGAATATAAGATCCATGTTTAAACATATGTTAAATATAACACTTGGGATTGGTTGAAAAATCATGCGGTATAGAATGGGATTGTTTATGATTAATAAACGGGATAAAACGGGATTTCCTTGACCCAGTAAGCGGGATTATTGTTTTCGTCTATAGATACACTGGTCCCAGGAATTCATTTCGGGGGGGGGGGGGGGTGTCTGGCGGCTATGGAACATTCCCTAGAAAAAAGGGGGGTCCTAGAAAAATGTGGAATTTTAAGCCTAAATACTTATTTCAGCTCTAAGATATGCTCAAGTTAATAGTATTTGTGTTAGCTAATAAAATATTTCGGGGGACTATAAATAATCCACACTGACCACCACTGTGGATAAGTGAAGGTTTGGTATTCATTTTAAAGCCCAAAGTGTATAAGTTGGTTCTAACCAGGAGCCAGAAGTCAATTCAAGATGGCGGTTCGCACCAGTTAGAGCTCAAGTAGTCATGAGAGTGCCAACCGCTTGTAGGGAAAAACCTAAACTGACGGTTGTAAAGGAAAAGGAAAAACTTCAGTGAGTGACCACCAGGTTCGCCACCGCACTGCCCCTTCACTGACAGCTAACACTCCATAACATGTCTCTATTGTACAAGCACTCAAAATTCAAAAACAAAATTTGTCTAATTAATGTGTGCCTTATGTGCTTTTAACATAACAGAGCTTAAATTGGAGGAAGACAAATTAATTTTTAACGATTATTTAAAAGTTAAAATCGCATATTTAAAAGACAAATTTACGGATATTTCAAGATTATTTTGTAAATACATAAATAGAAAATGTGTAAGTTTGAGTTCATCCAAAACATAGTTTGAATCTTTGTGAATATTTTACAGTTCATTTCAACTCAATAAACACTTTAATAATGCCACGAGGGTCTAATTTGTAGGACGATGTATTCACGGTAACCAGCCGTAGGGTGTTCTTAGGGCCTAAGAGGGTTCTTAGGGGATTGTTTACTGTGCCTGGCATGGTTACGTTTTCCCTTTAAAAATAAGAAATTTCACTGGTGCTAATAGTTATCTGCCCCTTATAACCTTATTTTCATAACCACAACTTTTATGTTGGTCTCTAACTGTCTTACTGTATATTTTTATTGCTATTTTAATTTATTCAATTTAATGTTAGAAAAAAATTGTAGAACTGTGATGAAAACATTTGTTATTTATAGCCTCTATGAGCTCTAAGATGAGTACATGAAGTCTGCATGGTCACTGTCCAGTTTTCTATTTTTACACTACATAAACTGTATTGATAATTAATGAAACCCTTTTTGTACAACCACATATTTAGTAAATTATTTACCGAGTTTGATGATAGCTTTGTATGAAATTGAATCTGGCAGAATTTCTATAAGTTCTTTGTTATGGTTACTTAACTTATCTAAACATTAATTTTCTATCACAGGAACAATGAGCAGTAAGAAAGAAGACCACACAAAGGAAGTAGGATCATTCTACTTGCTACAACACGACAAGAAGGTAGTCAAACACTTGTCAAATGTGTCAATATCTAACGGACTAGCCTGGAGTCTGGATAAGAAGAAGATGTACTACATAGACTCATTAAAGTATGGAATCGACAGTTATGATTACGATGAAACCAGTGGGACTATTTGTAAGTTGATGTCCAACTGCAAATCATATTAATACAGAATCACTCATTTTCTAAATTACATTATCTTAAAAAGAAGTAGCGTATAATCTACAATACCAAAGCTGTATATAATCTAAAATACACAAAGTTGCTCCGTGTCCTAAAATATGTCAATGAATCAATCTAAAATATATTACTTTTAATATAAATTCTGAATCACAGAATTTAGATAATCTTCTTCCCGAATCTAATTCCTGAATTCATTTTGCCCTTAACTTTGTTAATATGTTTATTCCAATTAAAATTGCAATCCACAATAAGACTAAAAAATTTAGTACCGGTACCCGTTACTTTTGAAATAATTAATGTTATAGGTTCATTATTTTATGTTATAAGTTTAACCCAAACTGTTATTTTTTATTTATTTTTTTTATTATTTATTATTTTTGTTGCTGCTGATTATGGTCTGACAGAGAATGTAACAACTGTTTTGGATCAGTTATTGTATTCTAAATTAATATTGAAATGTTCATAAATTTTTTGGGTTAACCAAGGCCCCACTAGAAAAACAGGGCATGTTGCAGCACGGGCAGCGCAACACTACGTCACAGTGGTAGATAGCTGTACTAAAATCTTTTGGTTAAATCTGACTAACCAGCTTATTTACCTAAAACATATGGGATATTGCAGTGAATCTATCAACAAATCTATCCACATCCACTAGTGTGACGTCATGGATCCTGCAGCATGGCCTGTTTTTTCTAGCACGGGGCCTTGGGTTAACATAGCAGTTCAGTTTTATATTGTTTTTTCCTTGATTTAGTTCAAAACTGGACCCAGCATCTTTCAACATTGGGTTTTTAACAAATAGTCCTGGCTAAGAAGCAGCTGTTCTCTGTCAGTGACAAAACTACCCACAGATAATCTCACTCCTATCTACACTCACCTGTTTGTTGCAGCAAATGGAAAACAAGTTTTTTGCTTCAAGAAAAATAACATCGATGGTTCCCCTGATGGAATGACCATAGACAGTGAAGGAATGTTATGGGTGGCTTGCTTTATGGGAGCTCGGGTCGGTAGTATTTTGTGTTTAGTAATCTAATTGTCATAATCAGCCCAGTCCATGGGGTAGATGGATATGCAGCTAAAAAAAGGACCTCACACCTAGTTTAGCAGTACAAGTTTGAAACCATCCTATAGCTAGTAGTTATAGCTCATTAACGTTAACCAATTGAATTTAAAAACACTCATCCTCAAAACTAGTGAATGTGTCCAGAAGGCAATTCTTTGTACCTTAGATCTTTAGGGCCTATAGGTTTTTAGTTTTTGTAGGATCCCACTCTTTCACGAAAAACACAAAATAATGTATACTCTATTCATAAATAATAAATACTTAATACTTTAATAGTGTAAAATATTTTGAGTTTCTTTTGCTGGAATGGAGTCTTTCCCATTCAGTTAAGCCTGTATTCTTAAAAAAATATCTGTAAAAGATATTCTCATACAATCAATCTACCGTACTTGCCTAACCAGTCTGTAAAGAATTATGTGTTGAGTTCTTCACCCACTTCTGTTTTTAATTTTGCTCACATTCCTGGATCACCTCCCTGCACATTTTAGGCTCAATAAAATGTCAATAAGATGAACGGTCCAAGAGTCTTTGGATGTCCTAAGTGACAATAATAAAAATAAACTAAACTCCAACAGCAATCAAAACCAGAATAACTAATGTCTTCTTTCCAGGTGTTGAGAATCGACCCATCCACAGGAGAACTGAAATTCACCCTTGAGATTCCTTCGTACCAAGTGACTTCAGTGTGTTTCGGAGGCCCAAATCTTGAAGATCTGTATGTAACATCAGCCAAACAGGGTTTTACAGAGGAGTTGGAGGAAAAATATCCTCTTGCAGGGTATTCTTTCAAGGTCACAGGTCTTGGTGTCAAAGGAACTCCTAGTGTGCCTATCAAGCTATGATCGTCCAATGAATACCTCTTTTGCATCATATTGTCTGTCCACATTAATCTAATTTCAACTTTCAATTCCGTTCCCCGTAGCATTAAGTATTAATCCTCTAAGTGCTCTTTACCCTAAAAAAATGACTCTTTACCCAGCCTTCCTGAAAAGTCCAAGGCGATTTGAACCAATGTGTCTGGGTAAAATTCATTCCATTACATTTAAATCTATTTCAGTGCAAGAAACCTTGAATATTGTACTTGAATATTGTGTTTGTGTGTATTGTGAATATTGTTAACCTTGTTAACAATATTTATACCCTCACACACTAAATAATTCAAATGTAACAATTTACATTTGACAATTTACATTTGACAATTTACATTCAACAATTTACAACTATAATAAGTATGATAAAATAAAATTGAATCTAATCTGTATTCAAGATAATAGGCAAATTGCAAATCCAACCATTTCTTTCAATCTCCGTGTAGCTCTAAATTGAAATTAAAAATTAATCGAAAAACAGGTGAATGCTAGTGACAGTGAAAGAGCAAAATGTACCGGTGATTGATAATTTGAAGCTTTCGGGCTGAACTGACGTTTTAACCAGCCAATAAATCCATGCCATTGTTGTAAGTTTACTATATGATAATTGAAGAGTTGCTTGCACTGAAGTCAATAACAACTTTGTCGCTGTAACAACACCGTAGCACTGAGAGGGTTAATACATTTTGAAAGGTTCCTTTGAATCCTTAGAATATTGTAAAATCACTCTAAAACATCTCATGTTCATCAAAGACGATTTTAATATTTGGAACCAAAGACAGGATTGTGGTTTGTACTTTTTTTATGTAATAGACACGTTTTAGGAACCAGCACTGGTTTAGGCCTACACTGATTTTCTCTTCACTCACTGACTGACAAATACTGTGGTTTTAGAAAAACAGGCTTACCGATTCCTGGGAGTATACATTAAATTTGTTAAAAGTTTTACTTATATTAACTATATTGTTTTGATTTTTAAAAACATTTGATATTTTTACTGTCCTATTACATATTGACAGACTAATAATTTAATTTGGGGGAGCGAGATGGTCTAGTGGTTAGAGCGTGGGACTCAGGTTCCTGGGGTCCCGGGTTCAAATCCCACCAAATAACCTTTATAATTAATAACCTATATTATTCTTTAATAACATATTGGATTTGATCTAAGTGATAATGACGTAACCCCTAGGTCTAGCCTGAAGTAATGTGAAAACCAGTTCTGGGCTCGTGCCTAGCGTCCTAGGACAAAAAAAATTTAATTTGAGAAAAGGAAAACGAAAAGTGGTTAAGAGAAAGCAATATAACAGCCGGCTTCACCTTATTCATGTGGTCGTCTGCATCGTTCTTTTCCGGCCTCATCATCTATAGTGGTGAGGTTATATTTTCTTTAAATCACCTTTGGATCGTTGGTTGCTTGTTTATTTCATATACAGGATGTCTCGCCAAAAGCTTAATTAATTATTATGAGAAGGACAGTTAACTATGGGGCATACCCCTTTTTAAGATGTTTTTGGAATGGTTTTGAATTTAGGCAATATGAAAACCATTTTACGCCACACTACACTATTTTGACGAACTTCCCATGCAAGGATTTAGTCCAGAAAACAGCTGTTTGCCGCCAGCTTAATCAAATGGGGTTTCATTGCGTACTACTGTACTGTAATGAGTTTTACCGGACACCAATCAGCCGTTATACTGTATTTGGATGCCAATGAGTGATTATAACAACATAACCTCTCTTAGAGGTTATGACTGGTTAGTCCTTTAGTTGGTGGTAATATATAAGGATTTGAACAGATTTAATAGTATGGTGTAAACTATCGTACGTCACTCGTCCAAAATGTGTTTACCAGACTCGTATAAGTCATAAGTCATAAGTCATAAGTCATTTATTCAACCAGATTTACATAGTTTACATGCATTGGTTATGTCAATTATATTAAGTTAATACATAAAATATATCAATTTTTCTCGTATGGTAATCCCGGGAACAACCACACTCGTCCGGTAAACACTTATTTCCAGGACTAGTAACATAATATACTATTCCAATGTGGCTGACAACTTCAATATTTTTTACAGAACACTCTGTATTTTATAATTGTTAAAAACAGTTGGATTCTTAATATTTTTCTTTTATCTTTTCTCTAATGCCACTCAGGAACAAGACTAGAAGATCGCGCCACTTATCCTACACTCATCTCCATTCAAACTTGGCTTAAAATACCTACCTTCGTACGGTCGCCATTTCAATTAACAGTAAAGTATTAAGTGTAGGAGTTGCAGCAGGTTATACTTAAAAAGGTTATATAGAAAAAATGGCTTGCCGTGTACACTCTGCATCCTGTAGGGTAGCTCCCAAACAAGTTTAGAGAGAATATGCAAAGAATAAATTAGTCTTAAAATTGTATTTACATTGTTATCATACAAATGTTGATTCCTTTTCCAACTTTAAAATTGTAACACTGTGTTTTGTAGATTGTAGGCATAATTTAACAATTAGAAAATGTTGCTTTTTTTTTTTAAAGAGGTTGGCGGCCTCTTTTAACCTCGCATTTGCCCGTCCACATAGACTAAACGCCCGTGCGTGGATTGTTAACAGCAAAGCAAGGAGTGAGCCGGTACAGTACAAAGGTGAACTGTACTGATAAAATGTTATCGGCAGTGACCAGGATCCGAACCCACGACATCGCTGTCTTGGGCCCGAAGTCCGCGACGCTACCGACTGAGCCACCGACTCACTAAAATTTATCGGTGCATAGATCTTGCACTCGTGCAGAGGAAGTGTTCACAAGTTTCCCTGCATTCCCTGGTTAAATCAGTACATGTTCTCAAAATGTGTTTAATGTTTGAGTGAATTATTGTTCGTTGTTATTTTAATTATTTGGTGATGGCTATATTTTATTTTATCTTAGATATACAAGTTTCTTGCCTAACAATATTTTTAGTTTCTCACTGCCATGATTCAATAGTAATTTTTAAAATGTTTAATTTGATCCAAATATTTTGATTAAAGAAATAATCCTATGAGTGTTAGTATGAACAGAAAACAAGAGAAATTTACAATCAAAATTGCACTTTTATAATTAATTTACACTATTACACAGCCTACATTTGGTTTTAAATTTGTAGATGATGTGTATGCAGCACCAACGCTGTGATAACTATAGCATGTGCCTTGTAACTAAAAAAAACCTAAGAACCAAAATATATAAATACATTTCCTAGTATTTTACTCAACCCACAAATACCAAACCTAGGTGCTTAAACATATTAAATTTGAAATATCAATGGGTTGTATTACTACTAATTGACTAATTTACAAAAAGTAGGTACTGTGTAGTTAGTAATTGTCATTGTTAGATCCTACATACTTGTTTAATAACCGCTGAATACTCAAATGAAATACTGGATTAATACATTTAGTCTAAATGATGGTTTATTTTAGGCATAGTAAGTGCAATTAATGAAATATGCCAAACATAGTCAAATAAATTGACTTTAATAGGATTATTTTTGTCAAAGGAAGGCTTTATAGGTACCAGTACCTTAAATATAATGTCCTTAAATAAAAAATGTTATAGATGTATTTTGTATTATTATTGCTTTACTATTTCAAAATGTTACTACTATTTTATAAAAAATACTGTGATATGACAGGGCCTTTAATTATAAAATCTATTGTAGTTTAATATAAAATATCTACACAATGTTATTATTTTGTTTATGTTATGAACCTACACAGTTGTTGATCAATAAACATAATAAAACCATACCAATCTTGGTTTTAAAAACCTGCATTGCTCATTGTTGTTTGAAATTATTACAGTAAGATAAACTAGCAGCCAGCTTCACTTTGTGACTTCAAATCCGTGATATATTTGAATTAATTTAAAATTGTTTATTGCTCTGAGTTAAGTTGAAAGTTATATACAGGGTGAGATTACAAACTCAGATTACAAACGGCTTGACATACAGAGATGAAACAAAACTTTTGCCCACTAATTTATACCCAAGGAACAACGTAAAAATATTTTTACCATTTTTAAAATACAGGGTGTTTGAGAAATTGGGGGTCATGGGTTCGAATCTCAGAGTTTTCAAATGTAAACATATGTCATGTTATGCATCAGTTTAAAGCTCTAGACTAGACAAAAAATTTAGTGAAAACAGAACTCCTTTATCTTTATCCGTTTCAAAATAACGGCCGTTTGTATGGAAAATATTGATATTTACAGAATACCCTGTATCTTCGAAACCATTAAACTTATTTTTGTTCCATTTGAAAATTCTTAATCCTTGTGAGTTCAGCTTTAAGTTTAAATGCGACATGTCACATTTTAAAAACTGAATATTTGTTCAATTGTTCATTTTATCTTTTTTATGTTGGTAGCCTTGTAAATAAAAAAAAATTAAATGGCAACATATGTCAAATGGCTTATCATTTTGAAGGTCTTGCAAAAAACAAACAGCTTTCAAATTTAAACCCATTGTCTATCTTTGGTAGTTTTCTACTAATTAACCAAAAACTCCAATGCCTATTTTAAAAAAACCCATGTTAAACGTGCAGTACTGGAGATTAGTGGATGCAGATTCACTATTCAATCAATACGGTACTGCACGTTTAACATGGGTGTTATATAGCCAATTGGAGTTTTGGTTGGTTACAAGACTTACAACTGTTACAAGAAAACTAATATCCAGGGGGCATATCCAGTAGCACCCCTCTTAGCATCCAGGGATGTATTTAAGTATCTGCCGCCTCTAAGCAACAAAGTTTCCTTGCAGTGACCTTGACATATAGATCGTTTGGAGTAAGGTTGAGAAGAGGCCAGTGAGGCTCCCAGTGAGGGTAATAAATTGTGTTTTTTAGTAAAATAATAATAGCTTGGTATAAAATAAATAGATTGGCCAAGTTTGATCCAAATATATGCATAAACAAGCAAACTACAACAGTTTACTTATTCTCCATAAGAATAACATGGGAATTTTGAATTTACTCCATAGCCAATAACCATACAAAAACACTACAGTATACTGAATTATTTGTTTTTTTTAAGCTCTTCAAAATGGTCGAGAGGAAATTTGGGAAATTTTATGTTTTGAGGGTCAAAAATGAGAAAACCCAATTTTTACCCCATAAATCCCCGTTCCCATGGTCCGATCATGCTGGTTCGCGAACACGTTTGAATAAACGTAGGTTTACACGTTTGTACCAAATTTCATTGAAATCGGATCATTTTTGCTCGAGATATCGTGCTAACGGACACATATATATATCTAATATCTATATAAATGAAATTTGAGTTTTGTCTGTACATTGCTCAGAATCATAAATTTGTAGGTTATTTTTACGTTTTATACATTAAAGAAGCCGAAACAAGTCTCATCTAAATTTCTGTCTTTCTGTAACACTCAAGATGGCATTTTACGCAATCTTCTCCAGGAAAACGAGAGTACCTATCAAGATCGAAGTCATTTTAATGTATTCACTGGATTGGCGAGAGTGTCTTTAGCCATTAAAATATGGCCTCACTACTTAGTAAATAAAATTACGGACGTTCAAAAATGCAGTTTTGTGCGATTTTTGTCAAGTTTTCGTCCAATTTTTATCACATAATGATCTATGAAATAACGAACAGCTGTTCGGATCAAGATTATTTTTTCTAGCTGTCACTGATATGTTTACAAATACCGCAACCATTTCCGATCACGTTTTGAAGGTAAATCCCATCCACGATCCCATCCAAGTGACATTAAAAACGTTGTCTTACATAATGGATTTAATTAATCGCAAGTGGAATAATATAGTGTAACCGTAAATGAAATAATTAATAACTAGGCATCATCCAGGTCAGGAACCAGAGATTCTTTGTGTGTAAAATTGTTCTTGAGTTTTGATAACCAGAAAGAAGACCTTGAATCAGTGTTGTAAAGGGCTGGGAAATTTAATTGCGAAGCATGTGTTTTGGCTTGAAACTGTCAGATACTGTATTTGCGAAGGTTTATATATAATAGTTTTGCCAGCATATCTGAAAATATGCAAACCAACTGCTGTTCTTAATATAAGAAGATTTCAACTGACTACTTTAAGATCCCGTGCGTAGAACGGGCACACAGCTAGTATATTCATGAATATAAAATATATATATATATGAATTTGAACGCATGGTATTTTTGGCTTCTAGAGACACCAAAATGAAAAAGTAAATCGGTCCCGGGACTAAGTCTAACCATGAGACCTACGGTAATAGCTTATTTCCAATAGGGAAATTCGCTAAAAACATTTTTATTAAACAAAATAAGCTCTCGTTCGGTCCTAAGGAGAAATGAATGACTGCAAAAAGTAGGGTTTAGTAAAAAAGGAAAAATAATTTTTATTAAAAGTAACAAAACTTTAATTATCTCTCAAACAAAACATTGTTCTCAATATAGAGTAGTGTTAAAAAATGTTTGGAACAAACAAGCTTAACACTGACTCATAATATTTCTTAGCAAAACTTACAACTATCAATCACAAAGCTTATTACTATTCAAGGGGGAATTAATAAATTTTAAACCCTTGAATTTGTAGTAAGTGCAATTACTATACATCCCCTTATTACCTAAAGTATTACTTTATCAGTCTTACAAAAGTAACTTTAGGTACAAAGATAATGAGTTGAAAATAAAATTCTAAATTACCGGTAGTAACAAAATGATCTAGAAGAGGTAACTAAAATATGCTTTAACAAAACTTAACAATTTTAAATTGTTTTAACTAAATAATATTTGACTAACTTATAAACTTAAACGTACCGGTACAACAAACAAAATCTTACTTATCAAACTTAATTTAAATCATCTTTAGTTTTTAGTGTTGTGTACCATCATTAGCATGGTATTGATAAACATAAAGCTAACATGATTAAAGTAATTAATAAAGAGTAACAAAAATATTTTTCCCGTACTATGTATCTAAAAATAAAGGATCCTGTTTATAGCTAAATATACTCCAGAAAACCTACATCAATTACATCTGTAAAACTACAGACAAAATTTATATCAACAAACTTATCTGATCAAGTTATTTGAGTGATTATTATGCCTTCAATGGTTTATTTACAAATCAGTCTTATTTCGACGCTGCCATAATACTCTTAAATCTACGATACAAAACCGTTAGTGATGCAAATCAAAAGACCTTCTGAATGTCCAAAAGTGTTTTACAAAAATAAATGCGTGCAAAGACTATAAAACATAGAAATCTGATACAAACAAATATCCTATTAAGGATCTATTGTAACTATATAACCAGAATTTATAATTCAAGACTTAAAAAACGTTGTTGATATGAATGGGGGGACACAGTGTACTTATTCAATGGAGTCAAGATGTGGGTTTAAAAGCTGGCCAAAACTATGTGGCACCTGGCATAAGCTTAAGAGCTAGCTTGATTTTTGGGTTTCATTGAATGAAAAAAAAAACTTCAAAGTTATTTTGAAAAATACTGTTAGTATTTGAGCTAAATTTGACTGACTTAACGGATGGAAAGAGGGTCTAATTTGTATGAAAAATAACATTATTCTTTATGGTTTCAAATCTTGGTTGAACAAACAAATTATATTCCTAAACATTGTTGTATTGGAAAATGTTTTTATATTGATGAGTATCTGTTATATAAAAATATCTCAAAACTTTTGAACCTTTGTTAAATAGTAAAATTTTTTATATTGTCAAAACTCGGTTTTAGAAAGGTAAACGTGGCGTTTAACTGGCAAAAACAACCTGACTAATGTTTTAGATACAAATCAACCTAGTTCCAAAGATGGATTGCTACAATGCAATGAAACGCCAATATTTTTGCCAGTTTAACGAGGGTAATTCCCCAAAGATCAAGATTTAAAATGTCTACTTTGACTGTGAAAGCTTTGCTTCTATTTTAATGTAATTTATTCTGTATCCTTAAATATTTTTATTATCATTTTCACATGAACTCTTTTACTTGTGTTATTAGGAAAAGGTTTATTCAAAATTAATTAATTAAATTTGACATTTTTATCAAGATTTTTTAGCAATGAATTAGTTATTTAAAAACAGAATTAGGCCTATCCTTTACCCAATTTTTGATTTCACAGTGTTTAAGAGATCATCATAAGTTACAAAGAACATGGAAAATTACAACTGTTGGCAAAGCAAACTTACTGTACCACCAACACTTGTGCTTACCTAACTTTAAGCCATTAAAAAAATAAATAATCTGGGAACAATGATTTTCTACCCCTATGAGTTAAGAGTGTCGGACTCTACGGAGCAAGGGATTTTACTTGTAAGTATATTACCATCCCAACTCCACTATACAACCATTAGGTAACACTTAAATTGCTTGAGATCAGACGTTACTAATAGCAACCTAATCTCTTTAGCTTATCACATACATTACTTAGTACCCGTTGTTACTTATTCGCTATGAGCTACTTACTAAATGTGTATGGCAGAATGTGTAAGTATTTACATCACTCTTTTACATGATTACATCATGAATATTTTATATTTAAATCACAAGATCAACCACATGTTCAGTAGTTATCTCTCTAATTGCACTTGTGTGGAAAATAAGTGTTAATTATTTTACAGCAAAACCTCGATTAACCGTCACCCATAACGCTGAAACTATGAGGGTTAAGTGAATAGAAGGATAACAAAACGATAATTTTAGAAAGTCACAAATTGTGCAAATGAATCAAAGTTTAAAAATATAAATGTTAACATATTATATTTGTAGAATACTTTTATGTGGAAAAAATCTAGCAATGGAACACATTTTTGTGGTAACAAATAACTGATTTACGGTTAAAAAAGCAACGGTGAATTGAGGTTCTACTGTACTTGATCACATGAATATATTAAATCAATCGTAAACCACACTGTTAACTATTTAAGTAATCTACCTAATTGTGCTCAGGTAAAAAAATACTTATATTACATTTAGTTATTTTGTGTTTTTAACATAATTGTGTATCTCAACATACATAAAAAGGAAAATCAAAATTGTAACACTAAGGCAACTTTAAGGTCACAAGACTCATACCTTACAGGTAATCAGCACCGGGTTTGCTATGATAGCAGTGGCAACACTTAGATGGCAGAAGGCAGGGGAGCAGCCATCAAGTGTTGATAGAAGAGAGCGTCTGGGTGGAAATAATGAGGCGGAGGCACGGCGGGCTGAACTGGTGGGAAGTAAATGAGGTTAGGGTCGTACACGCCGTACTCCAAATAATTGGACTCAACCTCCACACCAAGCGGATGGTAGTAGAGTGGCGGCGCCAGGTAGTGTGCCGGGACCGGTACACTCGTGGTGCTCGACACTTCCGGCTGCTGGACAACTGGCGGTTCACAGGGTCTTCCAGCTGAAGCAAACAAAAACCCATTAAAATAAATTTTTTTGTTTTTAAACATTAAAAATATTATGACAAATCTATATAATTAATACGTTACATGAAACTTTGTCGGTTGAACTCCTCCGCCATTTCTTAACAGATTTTATCCATTGACGTCTCATTGGAAAGAGCGTGTCGCGTGGATTTGCAAACTGGCCTTACATTTTTGAAAAAGTCCCTTGGGCTCTGCCCCAGTGGCTTTGAAAGTTCCCATGTAATCCTTATGGAGAACATAATTGTTTACATTTTGATCAGCTGTATAATTGAATTGCTGTTATTTTTCAATTCAATGAAACGCATTGAGTACATTTATTTACTATTTGAGTTTGTGTAAACATAACCCCCAAGACGGATCGTGTTAGTATGGTTGTATCTTAAAGTTGTGTATTTATCGTTGTTTTGTGTCGCTATGAAGGATCGTGTTAGTATGATTGTAACTTAAATTTGAGCATTTATCGTTGTTTTGTGTAGCTATGATTTGTTTATTTGTTGTTTTTTTTCTTTTAAATGCCTCCGACGTGACGACAACGAAACATAGACAGGAGGCGTAATCATGATAACAACCGCAGCTACAGAACAATGGCGCGTAATAGGCTTAACTCATCACAGTCAGCACCTGACCCTGGACAATCTCAACTATTAGGTTACAAATGCGCCCTAACACTACCCCAAAACGACTTTTCGTTCTAAATTGGCCCTCTATCAATGACCTGTGTTGCCTGTACAGCGAGGCATTTTGAGAAGGAGAAAACCGTCAGGAATGCTTTAGGTTTATCAATAACGAAGACAAAAATTGTCTGAGCTACACACCGGTAATCTTGAGTTGACTATTTTAAATTAATGGTAAGTATGACTGTTATTCGTTTTAAAATAACTCCTGTAATACTTTGCAATTGCTCGAATTCGAGCAACATGTACACTAGTCAAAATTATTTTGGTTATGTTTATATAGTGGTACAATTAATTATTAATGTAAATAATATTCTGGAACTTGATAAAAAGTAAATCCGAATCATGTCTGACAATCCGCTGAAGAACACTTAAAAGAAATACAAATAACCGTATTTAGCTTATAGATTTATCATCTAGCTCTCCATGTTAAATCAAATTTTGAAATGTTTGTTTGTGAACAGAAGAGCTCAGGAAATATTTCAATTGTGTGTGTTTGTATATGATGTGTTTCCTATAATGTGTAAATCCTATAACGTGGCGCAGGTAAGCCTACTCTTCCTATAAAAAAACAAAATCAAAATTAAGTAACTAAGGTTTTTTTATACTACAACTACCTGTTTTCTTGAAACAGTGGAAATACAGATCAGTTTGAACAAAATCTCAATCATACAACTAAACATTTTTACAGTATGTCACTACCTTATAACGCATTTTAGGTTGTTTTTAGGGATAATTTCAGTTATCTGACACTTTTCCAGCCTTGTAAATGTTGTATTATCAAGTCAACTCTAGTAAAGGAACTATTTATTTTCGTAAAATATACAGTAAGCGAGTGATGAATCCTCACCTTGCATGTTCCTGAGCTTGTTCTTGAACCTAGGGGCCAGATTATGGCTGGCCGAGGGGTAGTACGAGTGGTGGGTGGTGGAGTCTGGTTCCGGAGGCATGGGCAGCAGAGGCAGCGAGTCCGGACGTGGGTGACGGAACACTGGCGAAGGACTCATCACCACAGCCGAGTCTACAAACATGGTAACAATTTAATATGATGGTACCTAACATTATGTTATTCATTATGGAAACATATGCTAAACACCAAATATGATTGTAATACTAGTTACTATCTTGATGATCAAAACCAGAAATTTTGAATTTTGAAACTTTAAGAAACTTAAATTGAATTGCAAATCTTAAAACCGAATGGCAAAACGTTTTTATTTGCCTAGTAAAATTACATAAACAGGTAATAAAATGTTTATCATACAATCAAACTAAAAGAAGATGTATACCTGACCAAAACGTTAGGGATGGGCGAGTAGTGTTTTTTTGAGTCGAGTCGAGTAATTAGCCCTAATACTCGAGTATCGAGTCGAGTAGTTCACGAGAAAATCAACAATTTTATTTTACATATATTCCATCTTCATTTTTACGAACAAAGCATTTCTCAATTCACCAAAAATAGACCTGGTTAAAAACTTTTATACCATATAAAAAACACAATATGTATGTGTATCAAACTTATATTTTGGTGTTAAAGGTTTATTATTAATTGCAAAAAAAAAAATCAAAATATGGAACTAAGTGTTTATTTTAAAATAGGTCTACTGTAAATGTACTTGAATCTGACTAAAGCATGAGATCTAATAAAGTTTCCTCTAATTTATAAATAGTAGGGATGGTCAAGTCTCGAAATTTCGGGAAATTTTCGGGAAATTTTAAATCTCGTTACACGAGACGAGATTTTTTTTTTGCCGAGATTTTTATCGAGACGAGAATAAAAAAAAAAAAAAATTAAAAACGCCTGCAGAAAGTCAATGCAATACCCGCAATACAGGAGCGTGTTGTAGTTGCGTTTCCTTTGCGAAGGCGTTCTTATTTAATTAATTCTTTAAATGTAAATATTACTTTAATTATTTAAATAATATTACTTTAATAACATTTGAGAAGTTTTGTTAAGTGTAAGCAGTGTGAGGAATGTTTTATTACTATAAAAAGTCAAAACAAGTAACTATTTTATAAAAATTAATAGGTATTGCTTTTATTTTATGATTTATTTTATTTTAGGATAAGTTGAACTCTATCCTAACTGATATCACTATGTTTTCTAATCGTAGGCATTTTTAATAAGTTAGGCGTGATTAATAAAAAAATGTTATGCTGATGTTTTTTAATAAAAGATTGTAAATATTCTTGCCTATTATCATTATTTTTGTATTTAAACAGTCATCTAACAATGTTACAAAATCAGGTAAAAATTTTGAACGTGCATTTCCCGTTGTGTATGAGAAGGGAAATCCCGTCTCGATCTCGTCTCGAAATTTTATGAGAAATAAAAAATCTCGTCTCGTCTCGTCTCGAACTAAAAATCCAATCTCGTCCATCCCTAATAAATAGGCTTATAAGTATTTATCTAAGTCATTTCTCAGTTTTTGTATTTATTTGAAATTCCATGAAATTGTCTTAGTTAACTCATTAGTTCATAATTTTATTTTTATTACGTACCTAGCCTACATCTTGGTCTACAAATACTCTTTGTAAGGTAAGTTTTTTCCCCCAAGTGAGTAAAAACTAACTTCCTATATAATGACATTTTCTCACTAATTATATATCTTCAAAATTTGTTTAACTATGAAAAAGTCACCAAGTCTAGCTGAAAACATAATCATAAATGAGGATATTTTTTTATTTTTTAAATACAGAATAACTAATCAAACCAAATTTTTAACACTTTCATTTCTCAACTTTTTCCCCTTGAAAATGTCAACAGTTTTTCATTTATTTTTAATAAAGATTATCACCTATAGGCCTAATTGTTTTAAAGAAGTCCAGATGTGTGAACTTGGAAGAGCAGACAAGAGACATACGTCACTGCCACAAAAACTCTACTCTACTGTGAATGAATGAACAAACTGTTTATTGTGTGAAGCCACACCCACCATCTAACGGGACATGGGGGAGGAAAAGAGAAAGTTTGGCAGAATTTGCCCTTGTTCTAAAGCCTGGTTCACATGCCCTCCCTCACCCTCGGCCTCAGTCGCTTGCAGATTTCCATTACACAAGAGTGTTAATTATTTTGAAATACTGTAAATGTTTGAATTTGACTATGATGAGATCTAATAAAGTTTCCTCTAATTTATAAATAGGCTTAACTTTTTAAGTATTAATCTAAGTCATTTGTCAGTTTTTGTATTTCAATAAGCAATTGCAGTTATACATTAAAAAAATTACAAACATCTTGGCCTACAGATACATTTTGTGAGGAGATTCTTTTCTCTAGTGAGTAAAAACGATCGTGGTCAAGGAATGAACTGTGCTAAAACAGCAAAAACAGCACATTGTCAATGTTTACAAAAGTATTTTGACTGAAACCCTGGTATTTTTTAGACATTGCATAATAATAGCCTATGTCGACGTCTGTGGAGAAAAGTATGGCAATAGATAGGTTTTACTTTTAGCCTACAATAAAGATTATGTTTTGGGACTAAAATCTCCAAAAGACCAAAAGAGTGCTTTTAACAAACATTTCATAGTTTTATTTAGTAACAAAAGTCTTTGACTATGTTCCCGATTATACCAAGAACAAGGTTCGGCAGAGTGGATTCACTGTGAACCGGCCTGCCTGGTCCTTATGCACGACGTCACTATAACCTCCATGTAGGGGTGTCAACAATGGATCGGAACAATCGAAGTTTTGAACCTGTCTGTAACCTAGTTTTTTATACTTAAATACTCATTATTTATAAAAAAATACGTCCTACATATCGGATCTCGAATCACGATATTTATCGATACCCTTTCCTCCACCCACAATAAAACATTAAACGATGTCAAAGCAATCGTCATTTGCTCCATTGAAACACGAAAGTCGATTGGCTGACATGGTAGTGCACTGACGCCTCCAGACCAATGAGAACTGTTGTTACATACTTTTATTGTCAACATTCACCAATCGTTTTAACATTACAAAATCGACACGGACTAAGGCTTATAATATTTTTCAATAAATACATTATGTTATAGTAGCTCTTAAAACTTCACTAAACTCTTTAATCAGGTAGATAGTACAGATCAAAATATGGATCTACTTTTTGGCGTGACATAAAGCAAGCCTAACCATACGACGATGTTAAAGTTTAATGGTCGAATATAATTTTTCTAATGATGCGTATAATGCAGGGATTATTAAACTGAAATTTTTGACGTGTTTAGGTTATTTATTTTGTACTAAAAATAAAAATAATACATCTAAATGTCTGACTTATTGATACAGACATTGTTTAGTATAATTAATTTCGTGTTGGCAACGCGCCGGTTGTCTCTTGAGTTGAGTCTGACATCTTGAAATGTAGATTCGTAGATTGTGTTGTGCAATGCTGAAGCTAAACAATGTCACCGGCACCGTCGCTGTTTTGAACTAGATAGTTTCTAAGTTGGCTATGAAAATTTTTAACCGTGATGACAAAACTAATACTGTAGCTATACAGTAAATAAATGTTAAAATAAAATATTTATTCCTGTCGATGTCGGTATCATCGGAATCGACTTTTGACAATCGAGTCTTGGTACCGCTACCAATGTCCAAGTATCGGTGGTATCGATGACGATAATCGAATCATCCCTTTTTACTAGTAGAGCTGTATCGTGACGTAATCGATGCATCGGGATTTTGATGCATGCTGGATCGAATCGGGATTCGATGTATCGCACTCGCACACTTACACCACTGCCTATCACCCAGTGTCAGCTCAGCTGTCGGCGCTGTCGCTGTCAGTGAAATGGATGACGCAAGCGATGTCTAGGTTGCCGATTATTAGTAGGCCTAGTATGTCAATATTTAAAGGGGTTAAGGGATTAAATAAAACTCAAACATTTTCCTTTCTTACTATTTATTTGTCAAATATCAATGAAAATAACGAAATCGGCTTAACGTCTATTACTCGACTCGAGTCACGAGTATCTTTAACTACTCGACTCGACTGTCGAGTATTGCCAACTACTCGAGTAATTACTCGACAGTCGAGTACTCGCCACCGCTACAAAACGTGCCTAGAGAAGACAAGTAAAAAGTTTTGTGTTTAAGTCTCAAAACTCGATAGTCAGGATTTGATTTTTCGGGTTTGGAGACTCAAAATTTCTGGTTTTGATCATCACTAATGACTACAATAAACAGCTAATCTTTATCAGTAGGAAAACTATAATTTCATCTAATCAACCCTCGTCATCAATCTTCACCTTAACACACGCACTCAATAATCTAGCCTACCCACCCTTTACCAGCCTTACCTGGAGTGGTGATTGGCGTTGATGGTCCGTGATCGTACACTGCAGGACTCATGGAGTTGTCGGGAAGGTAAGTCACGGCAGTGTTCAAGTAACAAGGTGGAGTCGGTCTTACTCTTTGAGAGTAATGCTGTAGGAAGTAAAATATTATTAACATTGTCCATAAGACGATTTAGTCAAACACATATTAATGGGAGTGTAAAATATAGGGGAAGCAGTTGAATCTATAAGCCGAGACTCACAATCAGCAGTTTGACTCTGCGGTGAGTCATCGGATATCTGTACAGCACTTAAACTTAATTTTGAGTTAGGAGTCTTGCGGGTAAAAGAAGTACAGTAGAACCTCGATAGCAAGATTCTCATAAATTTCATGATGGCCTCTGGACCATACAGCAACAATAATAATGGTTTAATAAAATTATCTAAACCAGACTTGTTAAAAAGGATGATTTCTCAAGATTTGCAACAATGTGTGGTTATGAGTAAAATAATTTCTAGAGGATTTATTTAGCTTCTTTTGATTATTTGTCAATGGGACAGATACTTGACTTTAAGTATTGAAACTTATGTGATACTGTTACGCCTAATTGAATCTAGGATGTGGGTTGTATTTCAAACATTCTGGCTAAACCTAATTGCTTATAATTAAGCTGGATCAAAAGCAGTTAAAAGTTTGACTTGTAGGTTGGTTTTAGTATTACTTTCAAAAATGTGGTGTTTTTGGCAATACAACAACCATTCTCATCCCACAAGGGTCAGATTCAAGTCAACCATACTGAGAAAATTTCAACACTTTTCCTAGCATAATGAAGTATTCTTCTTAGCAGATATTTTGGTGTAGTATTTGAAAATGTCTTCAAATCTGTCCTTTCAGTTCATTTAAATTATAAGTTTATCTCGTGGTTTTATTTTTTTATACACAAAGATTTGAGCTCAATGAATATTGAATATCTTCTTTAAACATTTTTACTAGGCCTACTTACTTCAATTCCATAATTGTAGTAAAACCGCAGAGGTGCAATATCTGAAAAAATACCACAATGTTATATTTAGTACTTTTTAAATACATTTCCTAGAAATACCAACTATTTTATGTCAATTACTTACATGATTTCAGTAGTTTTCTAAATAAGCTACTAGGGTCTAGAGCCAAATTTATTTCAGTTTTGATTGCATAGTTAAAATTGTATTATTTCCTGTATTTTTTGTAACCCTAAATAGGCAAGTAAAAATGTTTTGCATTTAGGTAAGAGATTTAAAATTTCCTGTTTCAATATTCTCAGCTGATAACCATGGTTTGTATCTATTCACAATGAAACATACAGACCTGTGACGGGAACTTGTTGCAAGTCAGTTGGAGGGTAGCAGGCGGGGGGAGCCAGGAAGGTGGATGGCGGGGCAAAGCCATCCATCGGCTGCATGTAGAAGTGGGGCTCGATACACACCATTGCGGGGGGACCCACAGTACTGGTGGCCTCTACAGTTATTTGTTCTGGACGCTCCCTCTCAGCGTGATGATCGATTGCCTACAGTAATACAAAGTTGTAAAAAAAATAATCAGGACTCTGGTGATAATTCGTATGTCCCACTTTACATCATAGGACGCTACGCTCATTTTGAAATTGTTTTCACATTACTTTAGGCTGTCTCGAGGATTGCGGCATTATCATTTGACTTAGATTTTGAACACACATTGGTGACTGGTGGGATTTGAACCCAGAACTACGGGATCGAACTATCACAAGATCAGCTCGCTCACCGCTCTGTGAGTGGAGATACTGCTTGTGTAAGCTTACAGAATATTTAATTTGCATGACTTCCGTTTCTTGTAGGGTTAGGAAATTGAAGACAATAGGTCAAAGAAGCAAATAAATAACCTAGAATTATTAAAAGAACGTTAAAGGAAACTTTGGAACCTGGAAATTTGCGGTGTGGACTAGAAAATAAGTTATACCCTGAAATGGGAACCACACACATTAACATGTTCATGGTTTGAAGGATTTATTTCAACTCCAACTGAAGCGAAGCTACACTCTCATTGGTGCAGTGGTCAAGTGATCTATCAGACAGTTAATGCTAGGCTATGTTTTAGGTGTATTGGCTGTTTTAACATGAAGTTTACGAGTTTGTGGGGTATTTAAATAACAGTCTTGTCTAAAAAGGTTACAGAAGAATTATGTTCGTTAACATATCTTGTTGAGACATCTTAACTGCTAAACTCTAACTTTAGGCATGTAAGTATGCTTTTAGTTTTTTCAAGAGAGTATTTTTAGAAAAGTTTTAGGTGGAAAACTAAAATAAAATTAAGATTTTTGTTGAGGATAGCAGGCTTGCCTGGATGGGAAAGAGTGATAAGAGAGTCCAAACAAGCAGAAGAAACACACAATTTGACCGTATTCACAAAAAATATGAATATTTCTCTGTCACTGTGACAAAGACTTTCCCATCAAATCATAAAATAATTATTCCTTAGCTGATAATACTGTCAGTGACAGTGAAATATTCCAATGTTTTGTGTATTGTGTAAATTTTTTTTGTGCCAGAACTCTTTTTTTATTCAGGCTACACTTGTCCGCTTTGGTCAGGTCTGGCCCAGTCCAAACAGAAGAGGAGGCTACAATTGCAAGATATTCGGAAGGACACACACCACATGCATTCTATGATTCCACTTCTCAGAGAGATAATCTTGAGATGTCGGAAATGGCCGAGCACTCACCGAATCCGCAACCCTCACCCAGTTTTGGAATGTGTGGAGCGGCAACACTTGTCCGGTTTACTCCGCTCACCTCCGCCAAATTGCGGATGAATGCTCCCTGTAGGAATGTTCCGCATTTTGAAGGACCAGACTGAACTGGACTGATCGGAAAAGTGTAACTATAAACTGTTAAAGCCTTCTATCCTTACCAAAAAAATTTTAAAACCTATGCCCTTGTGCTCCATGTTACATCCTTATCTCAAACTGCAATTTAGAGCAGTATATTTAATTAAACAAAATATACTTTGAGCTTCAGTAATGTGAGATGAACTGATCCTGACCTGGTAGTTAAATGAGTTGGGATTGTATTCCTCCACATTTTCTCGGTGGTGTGTAGCTGATACTTCCGAGGGAGAATAGTTACAGTCAGAGGTGCTGCAAGAAAAATAACAAATCATTATGTTAAATTTTGCAGGAAAGCTACTTGGCTGGTTAGAATTTATCCATACAAAACATAGTTCAGGTAACTCATCTAAGAAATCAGAGTCCAGGAGCTAATAGACACACAGTAAAAGAATACAAAACTTATCAGCGATGTTTTATTCTAAAATAGGATTTCTTTCCAGCACATTTTTGTGTTATAGTCCTATTTTTTGTGGTCACAGTCAGCAAAAGGTAACTTCAGTTTTGAGATTTCATTGACACTTCTGTTCAACCTACTCTCTGTAGAAGCCGAACAAACAACAACACAACACAGCTCAATAGCAATCCTAACACAAATTATGTTTAGTGTGTGTTTTTTTCCCTTGGACTCAGGTAAGCTAGCTGAACTCTATTCCTTTTTGAAACAGTGCAAATTAATCATTAATAATTTAATACTTTACTTGGAAACGGCGACCGTAGGAAAGTAGGTATTTTAAGCCAGTTATGAATGGAGATGAGTGGCGTGATCTTGTAGTCTTGTAACTGACTAAGGCTGACATGTTCCTTAGACCACAGCTGTTAGTTAATAGTCCATACAGCCAATAGCAACTAAGGGGCCTACTGTTTATAGTGGAATCTGAACCACATTTTTATCCGACACTCAATAATCCAACACTCGGTAGCCCAACAAAGTTTTGAAATTCGACAGTGCGCTAACGAATCATCACTTGATTTCTTTACAATTGGAATTTGGTTTGTGTTGTGATGTGATTCTATTGTGTTTTAGTTTTTGTGGTTTCCAATTCATTTCTGCTGTTTAGCTAGTGAATAAATAGAACAAGAGGTTACTTATAGTGTCAAAGACGACTTCACCGAGGAAGCAACAATGATTAGACTTACTGGAGGCTGTGGTCAAAGTGTTATCAAAGTCAGCTTCAAGGGCACTGATTCCTTGGTGCAAAGCATTAAAGCATTGTTTAATACATGTCCATGAAAAGGCTGAAGAAGACATTTTGAGGAAACCAAATCAAAAGGCAATCAAAGAGTTTTAAAACTTATTACAATGCATGTATGCCTAATTGAATTTAGTATGCAGGTTTTAGTTTATACTTTACAAGCCTATGTTGTACAGTTGTGCTTTACTGCACTTTCAATTGTACCTCTCAAAAGTCAAAGAGAGCATGATAAGGTTTCATTTAACTTCCTCCCTTATAGGAGAATTGTGCATTATTTTGTATTGTCAAAATGTTTAACACGTTCGCTACTGAGCGTCGCATATATGCGACGCCGCGGACATTGCCACAGACCGAGGTATACATATGAATCCTACACATGGACCGGCTGTCACTTGGATAACAGTACACACAGACCACGGGCGAAAACCTGTAAAACAGTGATCATTTACATCTTAATACGCTACAATCGTGTTTGTAAATAATTTATTCTTATTTTTTTTGTATTTTTTATAACCTTTTGTAATGTCGCATATTTGCGACGCCCGGTCTACAGCGAAGACAATAGTGAAAACTATCAGAGTTTTCTTGAAATAGACCAAACGTCGCATATATGCGACGGCTCATTTTTGTTTTTGTTTTGAGGTGAAAGTAAGTAAATAAAACAGAATATTCAAGAACAGTTTATAGCTGAATAAATATAAAAGCTACATAGGATAATGCAGCACATACTGCATACATACACACAGTGATGCAGAAAAGTAAAGGCAAGTTTTTTCAACTATCATATGACGTCACCAATCATCATATCCACAGACCAAGCGACGCAGTAGTGCGTCAGACATCTCTGTAGACCACTGCAGGGAATTCAGTGGTTTCAAATAGACCGTAACAAAGATATAAGCATTTTAGTAACACTAGAACCCTGACACAAATATGCGACGGCAGTTTATTTAAATGTGACTAGCCGTCGCATACGCAACGGCAGTCTATGGGTGGAAACCGGCCGTCGCATATGTGCGTCGCTGGTCCATGTGAATGCAAAATTTCGTACTATTGCAGTAGCGAACGTGTTAAGGTGAGTATTGAATACAGTAGTCCTATCATTAGGCAAGCTGTTCATTTATCGTATTTTATTTAGTTTTCAAGGACTTGGTGATGAAAAAACTAATATGATGGGAACACAATCCAATGAGGTGGTTAATTTATTTTCAATATGTCAACCCTCTCTAACTAAAACCCTGACAGCTAATAATAAAGTACAGTTAACTAACTAACTTCCATTACTTAGATTTGAAATAATTTTTAGACTGGACAACTTTAAGGGGGTTTACAATAATTGTTTAACAAACCTTGATACAACAGCGTTGTCTTCCATCTGTCGTTTATGACTTTCACTACTTGGTTGGTAAGTAAGTTCTTTGCTTTTTATTCGGTACGATCTATTAGTCTTCTTATTAGACTCTGAAAAACATTTCTTACAGTTGAGTAATTTCTTAATACAGGATAATTCAAGTATGAATACATGAGAAGAACATTTTACTGCAATGAGTTTTACCGGACACCAATCAGCTGATTATAGGCCTACTGTATTTGGGTGGCAATGAAAGGTTATAAGAAAAACATAACCTCTAGTGATTTTTAGTCCTTTAGTTGGTGGTAATATATAAAGATTTGAACGGAATTAGTAGTATAGCGTAAACTATCGAACGTCACTCGTCCAAAACGTGTTCACCAAACTCGTCCGGTAAACACTTATTTTCAGGACTAGTAACGTAATATACTATTTTGTAAGGACAATTTCTCCTAAATGTAAAACTAAAAAATCATTCTGAAAAAATTTACCACACCTACTGAATTATTGAACCTTAACTAAATACATACTTGACAGATCATTGAACATTTTCAGCTTTGGAGCAATTGCACCGCTTCTGTCGTGTTCACTTTTCCAGATCATTTCTTTTTCACTGTTATGACTTGATGGAGTGTCCGCATTATTACTTTTATCTTCATTGTCTAAAACTATAATTAACTATTTGAACTATCAGGTTTTTCAAGCACATTTTAACATGATGTGAGCAGAACTTTATTCTAAATCATTAAAATATTCTCTTCTGCTTAATCTTTACTACAACCTTGATTATTAATAATTTCAGTTCCAATAAAATATACAAAATACTTTTCACCAACTAATTTGACATGTTCTGTCAAATATTTACCAGCCTAAATAAGTCAACAAAAAGTTATTTATTACAAACTATTTGTTTGGAAAAAGATGACGTTTTTATTTTACTTGCACATTATAAATCAAACTGACAATACCAATACAGTATAAGTAACATAATTATTTAGTAACACTAATGTAAAAGCAAGCAGTTTCCACCAATCAGCACCCAGTTAAAGTGAATATTTTTTACTTGAAAAGTGAATTGTTGAGTTTATAAAAGAATAGTTGCAAGGAACTCCTATCATAAATTAATCTAAATAGGAACTGCAAATTACAATAGAACATTTCTTGTTTTGACTATTCAGTCTTTGGTACAGTTCTCTGCTTGAGTTTTCTTCTGTGATTTTCTGATTTTCCCAGCTTTGGCTGGGTTTGTGTGCTAATATTGTCATGAAAGTACAGTAAAACCCTGTTAAACCATGACTATATATTCAAATAAATTGGAGAATTGGCTTAACTGGAATTGTCTGGTGTAGCGTACCCAGCTGGCCTGACCAATGGGTAATGGAGCAGACGACACAGATCTTGCCATAAAGATAAAATTTAAAAATCAGCTGTGGATTATTTTAAGAAGTTTATTTTACGTATTCACTTGTCTATTTAGAGACCTCTGTAATACAAACTCATAGCTCAACACAGTCAAAACTACTGTTATATATATCTTTGGAAAAAAAAACCTTTAAATTTATACCATTGATTAACCAAAAAATCGGTTATCCGTAACAGCCTTGCCTATTTTGTTTTGCTTAACAGGGTTTTACTGTCATTGTTACCAAAGGAGAGGACCATTCCACAACCCTAATATGTTATGGGAAATATCAACAATAATTTATTTTATAGCATAAACAAACTAGGCCTACTGAATAAGGATGTAACCCAGAGAGTACAATGGTTTCAGGATTTTTTTTTGTCAAGCTAGCAGGCTTACCTAAATTGGAAAGTCCAACAAAAAAATAACAAAAAAAAAACACACAAAACTTAACACTATACACAAAACATTAGAAAATGTCTATGTAACTGACACACTTTGAAACTAAGTAAGGTTGAAGGATGAGTATTCTTCAGGCCTAATGGTGGTCAGGAAGTAGTTACATATAATGACAGGCATTGTCGTTGAAAATGATGTCAATGACAGTAAAACACCATATTCTAATGTTTTGTGTACCGCAGTGTTAAGTTTTGTGTTTCTTGTGCCAGTTTGGACTCTCCCATTTACATAAGTCTGCTCTCCAGAAAAAGCATCTTAATGAACAGTCTATGGAACTCACCCTCTTTGAGATCATCTAGTGAGGTCAGTTCCCGCAGAGTTTGTAGTTGCCGCAGCTGTTTGAGCGGAAGAGACAGAGGTTGTGATGGAGGTGACTGCGGCAACAACTCTAGACTCTCATACGACACGGACATCCTATAACATCAGTTACAACTTTACAAATAAATGGTCAAAAACATCTGACAATTTTTCATATAAAATAACGGGTATTTTTAGCCTTGTTTGGGCATGATTCACAGACAAATTATGGCAATTATTTTAATTTGTATCACTAAATAACCAGTATTTAAAATACAGTGGAATCCCAGAGAGGCCCCTGGTTGTATTAGCCAACCTTCAGCAAATATAATGATTTTACTCAATGTGTAATAAGTAAATTTACTAAAAAGTTGTGTTTTTTTTTGCCGCTTTTAGATTGCTTTTAAGAAAAGTACATGTTTGTACATAATAAAATGTACTATAAAAACGTAATATAAAATGTATTTGTAGGAAAAAGTTGTTACATAAAATATAATGAAATATGGTAGCATTACCAGATGTTGAATAGGTAGGCTGAACATGACCTAAAAAATTGGCTTGTAAGATTATTAGGCCAGCCTTGAAATAGTCCGTAATTTGCTGCTGAACTTTCTTGGCCATATTAAATTTTTAACGAAAAAACTGTAATTTACTAACTGCACTGGAAATTATCAGCCAACTGTTTAGAGGTTAAGCCTACTAGCCAAACTGTGTAGTGAATGCAGTAAAATGCATTCACCTAAACCGTGAAGGTACTGGAGTCACGGAGACAAGTATGGGAAATACGTTTCATATTAGCTACTGATAAGTGGCTAGATAATCTGAGGACTGGTAAATCCGAGGCCCGTTGTGAGAGTTTAAATATGATACAGTTTAATACAACATACAACTTGTACATTATTATGCCTACTCACTTTTCGCCGAGCTCCTCCACAAAGACGATGACCGGACCCTTGTCGGGAGACATGTCCTGGATGTGAGCGTGACACACTCTGTCCGAGGGTAACTTGACCAGACACTTCACTCCTACTTGGAGTTCTCGGTTGTTCCACATGTACATCCCGTAGCGCAGACCTGACGTCAATAACAAGCCAATCACAATCTTAGATTTCCAGATTTTAAGATTATTCAAAATAAAAATCTCTTTATCATTTAGCTACAAAAGTAATAATGATATTGTACAAAATATTATACATGGCGTGGCATCTTATACGTATCTAAAAACCGAACATTTAACTAAGAGATGATTGTTAATATGTAGATTTACAGAAGTGTACACACAATAATCTCTATCTTCCTTTACTTAAAAACTTATCTATTACCACTAAGATGACTGGGACGGCGTCATTCTGTAATCCAGCTACTCGGAAGTCACGAATTGTGGATATTTGTAGGCATGAACTGAGAATATGATATTTACAAGTGTGGATTAACGTTTGCACTAGTGAACACTACGACTATCCGCAGTACTATCCTGATATTTAGACCAATTGGTTAATTATAAGGCAAAAGTGTGGTTCAGATTCCACTATAAACTGTAGGTCCATTAGTTGTATGGGCTACTAATTAACAGCTGGGTCTAAGAAACATGTCGGCCTTAGTCACTAACAAGACTACAAGATCGCGCCATTCCTACACTCATCTCCATTCATACTTGGCTTAAAATACCTACATTTGTATGGTTGCTATTTCATAAAAAAAAGTATTTAAGTATTAAGGACAAGAACTAATTTACGCTAATAACCGTCCTATGAATCTATAGGATAGTTTTGATTTTTTTCATAGGAATTGTTACAATAGAAGGGGGTAATTTATTTAAAAAAATGTTACTATGATATTTGTAGCTATTGTGTGTACTTGTGAGTTGAGATGATGGCTATATCTTGTGTAATTAGCAAGTCAGATTGTTGACTGTACTAATCAATATGAATATGAAATATTGGATTTCCCTTTGATGTTTAATAAGCTATTTAACATACAGGGTGAGTTTTAAATGAGTTCCCCCCCTACTTTTTTCTACATTTCTTAAGATATCAACTCCGGACCACGTCAGATCATTATAGAGTAGTAAGTACTTCATTTTGACTGGGTATACATTTTTGGCCGCCATCTTGGATCCGCCATATTGGATACAAAGTTTTTTTTTCAAAAGTAAAGGTAGGGTTTTGACCCATTATTCCAAACTAGAATTTTACGCTGATTACAATGCCGCAAATAGTTTTTTAAAATCTTTATCCGTTCTAAAGTTATAAGGACTTTTTATAACTTTATTTTTAGCCCATTTTGACATTGTGCATTTACAAACTAAGACCATAATGTCAAAATAGTGCTAGATAAAGATAAGTATACACCACCATTCATTGTCGACCTATTTTCACTTGGTTATGACGGATGTATTTTTTTCGGCCGCCATCTTGGATCCGCCATTTTGAAATGTGACAAATTAATTTAAATATGAAGGTGGTGTTGTGACCCATCATTTTCAACTAATTTTTAATGCTGAACTCAATGCCGCAATCCGTTTTTGGTTATCAAGCTTTCTTGATGAAATATTAAAATTATCTTATTTAAAATTTTAATAATTCAAAAACAAAACATGCAAATGAAAGACTGATTGCGGCATTGAATTCAGCATAACAAAGTAGTTGAAAATGATGGGTCACAACACCACCTTCATATTTAAATTAATTTGTCACATTTCAAAATGGCGGATCCAAGATGGCGGCCGAAAAAATACATTCGTCATAACCAAGTGAAAATAGGACGACAATGAATGGTGGTGTATACTTATCTTTATCTAGTACTATTTTGACATTATGGTCTTAGTTTGTAAATGCACAATGTTAAAATGGGCTAAAAATAAAGTTAAAAAAGTCCTTATAACTTTAGAACGGATAAAGATTTTTAAAAACTATTTGCGGCATTGTAATCAGCGTAAAATTCTAGTTTGGAATAATGAGTCACAACCCTACCTTTACTTTTGAAAAAAAAACTTTGTATCCAATATGGCGGATCCAAAATGGCGGCCAAAAATGTATACCCAGTCAAAATGAAGTACTTACTACTCTACAATGATCTGACGTGGTCCGGAGTTGATATCTTAAGAAATGTAGAAAAAAGTAGGGGGGGAACTCATTTAAAATTCACCCTGTATAAAAAAAGGAAGCGTTAAAAATATTCAAAAGCTTTGAAATCTGCTGTGCAACCTGGGCTACATTCCCCAAAAGCACCTGACTGCTCTCCATTGCCATTATTTACAATAAGCCGATGAATGGAAATCGTAAGGATTTATTAATCAAGAAAACAAAGAACCAATATTCTTCCCAAGCCTTGTATAAAGTGTATTCAATTCCCCAGGGAATAAACGTAAAATTTAAAATCAAATACAAACCTCGTCTTATTTCATTCCAAGTGTCATACTCGACATTTCTATATATATCTGGATCCAGAGATTTGGCCACCTTGTATGGAAACGGGGTGACACCCAAGTTAAGAAGGTTTTTGACGTTTGAATAACTATCTCTAATTTCGAGCCTCAGGTCCAACCTAAAACAAACCATTAAACCAAACACAATTAAATTAAACTTGAAAAATAGTCAAAGCATTATTATTATTATTATTATTATTATTTTATTATTAACGAGGCTCTTTTAACCTTGCATTTGCCCGTCCACATAGACTACAGATCTGTGCGTGGAACGTATCCAGCAAAGCAAGGGGTGAGCCGGTACAGTACAAAGGTGAACTGTACTGATAAAAGTTTGTGGCAGTGACCAGGATCCGAACCCACGACACTTCTGCCTTGGGCCCAAAGTCTGTGACGCTACCAACCGAGCCACCGACTCACCAATATTATGAACAGTCAGTTCTACCAGAGCTATAAATTTTTATCTCAATCCATTCAACAATCACCTCTCATTCAGTTTAGTACAAAACCAGAAGTGCACACACTACTTTGAGTCTGTGGAAACTCACCCATTCATAAAGAACGAGCTCGGATCTCTTTGATATTTGGACGTCTTGTCATGCAGCATCTTTTTGACAGCGTAGTCCACTTCTTCCAGTTGGAACACTTTTTTGTACAGGGTTTCATAAATCAGAGCTGAAATATACAGGTGTGAATGTGTTAAACAGAGCAATTTGACCTAGGAAAATAAAAATGTGTATGTAAATAAAGCACTTGCTTACATACCGTACGGATAAAGATATGTATAAAATATAGAAAACAAGACTAATTGCCCAGATCAGTGTTTCACAGCCTGTGGTATACAGAGGCCACTATGACAGTACATGGAGAGGTTCTAAGTAGCAACAAGTATTATATGTATGTCAGAATTATTTGGGGTAGTGTGTCAGTCAACATTCGATCACTGCACATTCCCAACTACAGTAGACTCCCTCTTATCCGGAAACCTTTTAACCGGACCACACTCGGTAGAAGTGACATCTCTTTATCCGGATAATTTTTATCAGCACATCGGTTTAACCGGACTAGATCGGCAGGAAGTGGGCGGTACTGAAACAACTGTTCTCGTGGAAAAGATTTGTGACCAGTGATTAAGTGTCTAAATACAATGCTCTCCTAATTTTAAGTCAAATACTGTATAGAGTATGCATTTAAACGGCCCATTTTAATGAGATTTTGGGGACGTCGGTTTAACCAGAAAACCCGCTATTCGGACTGGCCTCGGTCTGGAGGAGTCCGGATAAGAGGGAGTCTACTGTATGTAGATATATGAATCAAATAAAAAATCAAATCAATTTTTATGGTTGCAAAATATACAAGTACGGTAGGTATACTAAACAAGACGTTGGAATAAGGTCAAGAATATTTTGTTAGTTTACCAAATGACCTGAAATAATGGCATTCAAGTAATATAAGAGAAATTAAAACTCTTGCTCCCGGCACTCGGTACTATCATAGACAAATAGAATAAATATAGACTGTCAAAGGAAGGTTCTGGCGCCCACCGCTAGGAGTGCCGTGCACACTGCTGCAGGCGAGGAGCACAGGAGCCGTATGTGACCAGCAGACGCTGCAGCGGTGCTCACCATAACTACACTGCAAACCTAGCGATGGACGCCAGAACTTAACAGCAGCACAGCTAATGGTCCATATTTATTCTATTTGTCTATGGTAGGCTACTATGCTCAGATATTGAAATTGTGATACAACCTTCTCAAACTCATGGGTTGGTTAATAATGGAATATAATTAATTCTGGAATATAATAAATAACAAATAAATATATTCCATACATAATTACCTCCACAAGACTAAGTGATACGCAAAATAATTTTGTCTTGTGAAGTGATTCGATAGGAAATAGTTGAGAGACACAGGCCTAGATGATGTAATAACTAATTACTGTAAGTAAAACCAACTTACACTGGCAAAATGCAGCGTTTGAAATGTACTGTTTGGTATACACAGAGTCATAGTGGTGTTCTTGAGACAGACAAAGCATGATCTGCTTATCAAAACCGTGGTCCGTTACTGGCTCGTACAATTTTCCAGGTTCATTAAACAGCAAAAAGTCTCTCCTGAAATTTAAAGGAACACATTTACTACACATCTTTTAATTGATTAACAAATGTTTAAATAAAAAAAAATCTTTTAATTTTTAAAATTTAAAAAAAAATTTAAAAATATCTGTTTGTTTTTGGGAAAAATTTATTTGTATGTTGGAATTTAAAATAAAATGGATATGTCAACTCGTTTTGGCTGTGAATTTGTACCTTTGATGCCTTGCGCTGTCCGTGTGCAACTGTGTACAGTTAGTGTACACACTGTCGAACTATTTACGATAAGACAACGAGATGCAATCAATTCATACTTTCGATACATTTTCAATTGTTTAAAATAAAAATCTACAACTAACATGACAACAGCTAATTTTTACTCCCTAGGGGCTAAAAACGCTTTTTACTCCCTATACATTAAAAATGCTACTTTTGATCCGCAAACCATGCATTTAAAACGGCTCTTTTTGCTGCAGTATGACGAAAAAGTAATAAAATGTAATGTTGATGCAATATACTGTCATGTTCGAAATTTTCTGACTCAGCGTGGTAGCTTCTGACTTTCTAAGGATTATAAATTTAATCCTGATAAGTTACAATTTAAAAAATTCTCATCTATTCATTTGAGAAAGTGTCAAACTCACTTGTACATTCGGGACATCAATTCTAGTTCCAGCTTGCCTCCTGCTTCGTGGGGATGCTTCATGCGATCGACATATTCCTTTTTTGTACAGTAATTAACCTGAAAATATTGTAGGCTACTTAGTTTGTTAGCAGCTTGACAACCTGCAGTATAGCCTAACCATAGATAAAACATACTCCCTTAGTAGATTGCTCATCCTTATGGAACAGCTGAAGCCAATTTTATTGTTAGTTCTGTCCAGTTTTCTGTAGATGTTGTGTTTTGTTTACAATTTGTTTCTATTATTTTAGAGTTAGTTTCTCATGGTTTGTACCTCACTGTTTGGTTATATAGCAAGTGGACAAGTTATTGTTTATGATTAGATAGTTTTATTTGGTTAAACGAGGTTTTAGATTACTGAAATAGCAAGAAACGAATTGTAAACAAAACACACAGTACACAGTACACCGGACAGAACTAACAGTAAAATTGGCTTCAGCTGTTCTATAAGGATGGGAAATCTACTAAGGGAGTATGTTTTATCTATAGTATAACTTAAAGCTGGAAATTAAATTATTTATTAAATGTTTTCCTTTGAAAAATATAAAATTAAAACACAACATTAAATTTAAAATCTTTTGATTCTATTAGTTTTAAGATAAAATTTATACCTACTCTAAAAATTGTTGCACAAGGAATATGTAACGTGGTTAAGAGATCATTGTTAACCGTATTAGTTTACTAGAAAATTTGTAACACTGATAATTAAAAAAAGTATGTAAACAGTTTTAATACACAAATTCGAACGTCTGTGATGATTTTCGAAATCACAGCATTGTCCGTGATAATTTCCCGTCCTCCAGCATTGCAATATATTAATCATTTTCTGAGATCACAATTTTTGTACTTGATATGATGTCACAAAAAGAGAATAAACAGCAATTGGTTGTGGATTTTATTGAAAATTACACAATATCTAAAACTAATGTATATATCCGGTTTTTCTGGTTCTAGTACAGGGCAGCTAGTGAGCACCATGTCTTGTAACAAACCTTTCAACCATTTGTCACCCGCTATACAGTTGGCGTCTGTGTTGGTCCCCCTCCACTCACACCTTGCTAACTGCTAAAGTAACATATTATCTTATCAACTTACACTGTCCAGCAATTCTGGATGTCGCTGAGCATACTCTGCACAATGCCTTCGCACATCCAGGTGGAAAGCTTGGGCGAGAAATACCTAAACACATAAAGTAACAAGATTACATTTTCAATAGGTAATATAATATGCCCAGTGTAGAGCAGGTTACTCAGAGCATACTGTATTGGTCTCATAGGAGGTCAGGAGAGTAATGAAATGGTTTACAGAGTGACAGAAACTGTGAATACACTTGAAGAATACATCAAATGCATACTATTTTGCATAAAATTATTCATTGAAAAGCTCTCTGCAATTACTCTTATGCAGACAAAAAATAGTGAACTGTCAGAAGCGTGGCATTCCTGTTGGATATCATAAAGTTGTATAAGCAGGGTTATAGCAGATTTTTTAACCTTATAATAATATGCACAAATATCCTCTGCTGGGTAGAAGACTTGTGGATCTAACCATCTAACAAAAAATTTTTTTTTTGTGTCCAACTTTACATTTTAGGTTCTATCCCAGAACTGTTTATTAATTTACACATTAAAAGGCCAGTCCTAGAGGGTCGCGGCAATATCAGGTAGAAAAGATTTAATGATGATTGCTCTGATTTCAATCCAGGACCTCAGGCTCCAAAGCCACCCATAAAATTCCCAAAAGTAAAATTTTTCAAATTTTAAACCCACAAAATTTTTTTTTATTTTGTAATTTTTTTTAAAGAGGTTGGCGACCCCTTTTAACCTTGCATTTGCCCGTCCACATATACTAACTGCCTTTATGTGGAACGTATCCAGCAAAGCAAGGGGTGAGCCGGTACAGTACAAAGGTAACCTGTGCTGAAATGTTTACAGCAGTGACCAGGATCCGAACCCTTGACATCGCTGCCTTGGGCCCGGAGTCCAAGACGCTACTGACTAAGCCACCGGCTCACCAGCTCTAAAAGAATATTAATAAAAAAAAATCTAAATATAATAATAATAATAAATCTTTATTGTCATTTGGCAATATAAAAATTACAATAGACAAGGTCACATTTGTTACATAAATAGGCTACAGAAAATGTTAAAATAAAGTTAAATGAATCTTAACTAGATTTAGAATATTAATTCAAGGTGGTGGATTTTTTTAAATAAAAAGAGGTGTTTTTTTTAACTGTGGTGGCGGATAAACCATTCATCAAATAAAAAAAACTGAGATAACTTGGTGTCCTATATTTTTAAACGAGCTAAAACTTTGTAACGTAAAAAATGTTTTACTATCTCCACCCCTTAACCCTTACCGTATTTAGATAGCGTTTGATTTTTCAAATAAATAGCCTAGCGTTTTTATCTCATATTTCTTTATTTAGGGTGGTTTTAGTCTACTGTTTATACTGAAAATGATACAGTAGGTATTCTATCATGAATTACCATAACCTTAATATTTGTCTTAAGTTTAAACACCCTACGTTTTTGATCAAGTAAAAGTTTGGGACCTCCAATAGACCAGCTCGCTCCCCCGAACAAGTAAGAGTAATATAAGACCAACCTGTTCGGACACTGCACGGTAAAGACATGACCCATCTTTAGCTGTGTGTTTCCTGTAGTATCCTTGAGAATCCAACCATAAATCCATTTGATCTGTCGGTTTTACCCATACCTTACCTCGGGTGAGCTCTTTAAATGATTTATTGGCTGATATCTATAAGAACATAAAAAACTTATGTTAGCTATAGAGAGTTATCGCCCATACTTATAGGAACTGAAGTAGGCCTAGGTCTGTTAATATCTTCAAGCTCTAGCTGTGCTGATATTTTTCCTTAAACCCAAACCCGCTAAGTCTTTTACAAATCCTGTAAAAAGCTTTGAGTTGATTGGCCACTGACACAACCATAAATGGTACCATAAGTTAAAAGGTAAGTTAAACTGTGAGTCTAGAGACCATTTAAAATCTCCAAGTCATAAATTTACTGTAAAAGTAAACATGGCTTACCGGTAACTTATTTTATAAGCTGAAAAATAAATTACTTAAATTCTAAGCACTTTTGTCGGTAAATTATGTTTGGGATCCTCAAACTTTTAACTTAACTTAAACTAGGCTACACCGTAAGCTTAGTTATAAACTTAACTTAAAAACATGTTGTTTGCCGTATTATTTGAGTAGGCCTACCTATATTTAAGCTGTACCTGATTTGAGTAGCTTGAAGTGAATTTTCAAGTCTTTTCAGAGGGTCAAATTCATGGACTCATATTAACTATGCCATTTGTCTTTAAGTTCGGCCATTTTATTTTAGTTTGATTAGCCTAATTATTAACTACGCTATCTAACAAAAGGTTGACACTTAACTTAGTAACAAGAGCAGGGTTTGGCTTGTTCCCTTTGATAAATTTAAAAAAATATTTTTCCTAAGTTTAATGGTGTAAAAACACACAAAATAAAGAGAGAGAGTTTAGGTCTATGGGACTTTTATTTACCTCAGAGGTTGATTTATTGAGATCTTGCTTGGAATCGAACCAGCGACTTTCAAGTTTGAAGGAGAACACTTAACCACTCAGTTAAAGTGGCTAAGACAATTAATAAATTATTTTTTTTATAAGTTAGTCCTTAGCCTATTAAACTACCCTCACGACTACAGTAAGTTAAGTTAACAGCTGCTACTAAATAACCCAGGGGTATAAAATATTCACTAAGGTAGCCTACAGTGCTTTTGTAAAAAAAATCTAGCGAGCCTAGAATTGGGTCAAGGCTCTGAAGAATTGCAAAAATTTTCTAGGTCTAGGCCTAGGTTATCTATTAAGTTACTTATACCGTGGTATCAAAATAACCATATTGATTGTGTATTTATGTGCATATAAAAACTATAGCGGACTCAACTTGGCAGGCCCCTGCTTAGGATAGGCCTACCTACATGGTATTTTTACATGGGCCCACGGGGATAGCCTAGCTAGAAGTCCTTAAGTTACTTGAGATAAGTTAGGCCTGCAACAAAAATTTACCCTTGAAATTAAAAAAAAAAAACTAATTGTATTAGTAAGTTTAATGTGTATTGGATTTATTTAACAATGGAATAACATTAATTGATTACTTACCATGATCGTAAATTTACCAAAATAATTTAATAAACAAAGTTCCTAAAACTACCACATTTTAACAAAAATATTCTATACAGGCCAAGTTTGTTCTTGAAATTTTGAGGTTTTCTTATTGGTCTTATTTATTGCTGTTTCTTTTCTTCTTACCCTATTGTCTTATTCGCTCAATCACTCAGCTCGAATCCGAATTCCAAAAGTGCCACCAAAACAGGCTTACAATCTCATTTCCTCGGCAGCAATTTTCCCCGACACACGCTAGTTCTTTGAATACCATTCGGTTAAAATTTATATGCACACATAATATGTATAAACACGTTTATATTTTAAAGGTTTATATTCATGTTAATAAATAAAAGTGCGTGTATTTATGTTTTATGTTATGTACAAAACATTGTTATTATTTACAACCATGTTGGAAAGAATGATTCTGCAGAAACCGATAAGCAATAATTATTAGTCGTCATCTGTAGTTTAATAATTATTCAATGAATTTAAAAGATTATGAAAAAAGTGCTTTTGAATGAAATTGCAATATTATTTTATAATCATACTAGCTGTAACCCGCGGGCTTTGCCCCGTTTAACTTCTTAATTTTCAAGATGATCTCGTTCGCATGGTTCAATCACGTCCTGGTTGAAGTTCGTTCGCTACGCTCACTCACCTTTAGGTTGGAGCTCGTTCGCTACGCTCACTCACCTTTAGTTTGGAGCTCGTTCGCTGCGCTCACTTGCCTTCAGGTTGAAGTTCGTTCGCTACGCTCACTCACCTTTTGGTTGCAAATTAGCTGTTGTCATAAAAATGTAAAAGAAATAATAGTGCTGCACCCTGTTGGTAATCCTTGTAACTTTAATGCTATTGAACATCATGGAACAGAACCAACTTGTTTAATTGAAACAGCTGTTAAGATTCATGAATTCCATTTCTCATAAGGTTAACATGCGAAGTTTTACCTGTTTTACTAAGTGAATTTGAATTTATTGATTTTATTTAGTGACTTTATACTTAGTACGCACTTTTGAGGTTAGGTGCACTGACGGTACCACGTCTCGTGACGCCAAAGAAGTTGTCGCTCCAAGCAAAACAGTCTACCACCCCGCGACTGCCGCTCGGCGACAGTCGCTGCGCGACCGTCGCACCTGTCGCTCCAAGCAAAACGTACCTTTAAATATTCGTTTGCGGTTTACCGATTGTTAAATTCTTTATCTTCCAAAGCCGTGGTGCCCCGCAAGCCGTGGTGCCCAGCCCCGCCCCCGGGGCGGCCCTGCGAGGGACGAAAGGGAGGGATAAAAATATTTCGAAAAACGCGTAAGGTAGCATTTGGACGGTCCCTTATCAACGTAACACACTAAACTCGCAATTTTGTAAAATCATAGACTAACCAACGTTTTATCTATGGTAAAATTATCTGAAATACTACTACCGGGTCCGTGATGGTGAGTTTATTGCTAACGGACAGTGGGGGATAATGAGTGCATATTCATTTGTTCTGCGAAATGTAAATAGCTTATGACATAGGATAAGGTACTTTGTGTATATATTTTATGTATTACCATAGACTAGTATGTTTTATCTATGGTATTACTGTAATTGACGTAACCAATGCATTTATGTAAATCTGGTTAAATAATAACTTAATTAAAAGTATAAAAAACAGTATAAAGAAATATTGTCGAGAGCAATCCTCTGGACTGAATATGTATTTTGACAGTAACCAACCAATGAAATGGAGTCTTAAAATTCCATTCACAGTTTCTTTGTGAACCATACTGTATTCTGGGATCTGGTGGTGTGTGGTGAGTGAAGTGAACCAGTGAACGATGGTGTTGGTGGAGGTGGTAGTGGAAGGGAAAATTATTGTGATCTCTGTTTCTGTTATGTTTGTGGGTTGTTGAAAAATGTCAATATCGTATTTGTGTCGGAATTAAAACTTGGACTCTTCTGAGCACTCAACTTATCTCCACATCGATTAAGTTAAGGCTCCTCGCATTGAAATGCAGTTATTGATTTATTGCAAGGTAAATACATCTTTACCTCAGAACTAGAACCTTAAATGTACCATTATTGATAAATGACTTCCACATAAAACACGTTCGCTATCTTGAGAATTATTTAGTGTGCAAGATTCTCACATAAGCTTTATTGCAGTTTGTGAAGTAGAATGTCACAAAACCAATTACACGTTTGACTGTTACACTATTAACTATGCTTATAAAAGGGTAAAGACTTGGCCTATCTTGAAGAGGTTTTATGCTAGGCCTAGTTTAGCTTAGCCTATGTCACTACATCTTATCACATAATTAATAGCTTAGGCCTAAGTGAATAGTTATTTTCAATACCTATATTCCTTAAACTTAGGCTAATGTAATAAATGAGGCTAGGCATTCGAAAAGACGCACAGTATAAAATGAGAATTGTGCTCTTGCAGAAGGCCCAATTTTGTTGGTACATGCACCGAGTGCAGACGAACTAATATCCACATCCCCCGCTCGGTGTTAGGAAAGTAAGTTACTGTGTAGCTAGAGATAGTAGGGTAGCTAATTGCTCAGTTTCAAAAATGTTTGTAAAAAAAATTTTTACTTCTGTAAGAATAAAAATGTGCAAACTAGTTTTTCACTCACGTAACAAACTGTGTAAAGTAGCCTAAACTCAAAATACTATTTCAAAGTGAAGTATTGAAGTACCTATTGGCCTTCATCGTTGAACCTCAGTAACTTAGAGTTAGAATTTAGTAAGTACCGGTACTTATACCCTCTAGTATATTTGATTTTTGGCGCATTTCCCTGTAAGTTAGGGAAGTAGCCTAACTTGGAATAGCTATTACCATAGGGGGCACGGTAAGAACTAGGACCCATTTACTTTTTCATTTGAGTGTCTCCAGAGGCCAATAACACTAGGCCTACAGTAGGGCCTAGACCCCCTGTCAACCGACCCTGACAGGTCCAGACTTATGTTGGACAGCTCAAAAAGTTGATTAAAAATGGGCAATCCCTCAAATATTTACCAAATTAAGTACCGTACTATTCATGTGGAATTATATAACTTAGCCTAGAATCATTAAGTTATTCTGTCAGTTGTGCGTTCATTATAAAAATAAATGACACTAACTTAATATCTTTTTTTTCATAAGTATTGACGGTAGAAAAGTCACAAATAAACCCAAAACATGCTAACATTAATTAAGTTAAGTAAAAAAACTTTCAGTGGTATAAATTATTGTCATAACGCATATAGGCAAGAAAGAGTCAATACAAATTCTTAATTATTTAAGAATTAACCTGCGTGGTACTTTCCTAAATAAATATGTAATGTTCAGTATCATGGTGGAAGGAAAATATATAGGTGTGCTATTCCCGTTACATGCTGACGTCACTCAGAATACAAACACCATTTTATCATTTAGAAAAATTTTTAAAAACAATCAAATCAAAACAAACATTATATACAGTAGGTACTTATATGGCAATACAATCAGGTGATTTTTTGTATGCAATCTGGGTGACGTCAGCATATATGTCAGGAATAGCACACACTAAGTTATGTATTTTCCTTCCACCATGGTTCAATATCAACAAACAATAATTTAAAAAACGCAGAGGATACGCATCCGGTAACCGGACGTGGATTAGGCGTCCGGCAGTTACTGTCATAACCTAACCTAACCAACCAAACGTGCTGATAATGAAAAAATCGAATGAAGGTTAAATTCTGTTCATAAAATAAAATTATAAATGCCAAAAATTCTAACAAAAGTAACTTATGTAGGGTCAACGTGGGTAATTGTGAACGCCATTGACAAATTTTACAGATAAACGCAATTTACAAGAAAGTTGTAAGCAATTTTAAAAATGTGATCAGTGTTATAGCATTATACATATTTTGGGCTTAATATTTCATATTAATACTTTAATACTCTTTAATACTTTAATAGGCTACTTTTTGATGAAATGGTGACCATACAAAGTAGGTATTTTAAGCCAAGTATGAATGGAGATGAGTGTAGGATGAGCGGCGCGATCTAGTAGTCTTTGTTGTTAGTGACTAAGGCCGACATATTCCTTAGACACAGCTGTTAATTAATATCCCATACAGCTAATGGCAACTAAGGGACCTATTAATAGCCGATTTCATCCCCTATTTAGTTAAGGAGTTATTCAGCATTCACAATTGCCCGGACGGCATTCACAATTGCCTAAAATTTTGGGGTAAATGTGAACTCAGTTGAGAAAACATTAAGTTACATACTACAGCATAGGAGGGGAATTGTGATTAAAACCTAATTCAAACTGTTCACAAATTCCCCACTTTCAACGGCATGTGACAAAAAATAAGCTTGCAAATGAGATTTTTCTGTGGTACTTTGAAATTGTTAGAAAATCAGGTAGATGTAAAAACATTGTCAGAATAATTAAAATTAATGTATTTAATGGGTAAAATAGTATTCTTATACAAGAGAAAATAATTAATATAGAGTAGTTATTTGATACAGTAAAGTACAAATTTAAGGGAAATGACAAAATAATCCAACTTTAATCAATGAAAGAGCACAAATTTGTATTTTAAAATTATTGAAATCCTACTGTAATAACAATCAACCATTAGAAAAGATAACTAAATTACCTTGGTTAGATAAAATCATTAGGTAGGCACTTTCATTTTAGGCTATACAAAATATTAGTTGTACTAAAAATGGTTTTTTTTTATCTTGAAAAACCTTAAAAACTAACCTATTTAGAAATCAAATCACTAACAGATATGCCTACTAACTGTCCTGTCCGCCTACATCTCAAAAACTGGAACACAACCTGGAAACTAGTCCAAGTAATCTGTGTTTCTTTTACAGGCAAGGTAAAAGTGAACAGCGTTCACAATATTGCCCCAAGATTAGGTTCACAATTACCCCCACATAGTGAAATATTGAGGGTAATTGTAAATTTGATAAAATAAATACCCCCGCCGCAGCAAACCTGACGCCTAAGCGAATTTCTATTTAGCTGAATTGATTTTCAATTGATCTATTTAAATAACATTAGGTTTAACGAGTACCTAGGTTTGCTGCTACAAGGAGACTAATAAAGTGTGTGTTTTAAGTAAAATAATTATTGCTTAGTATAAAATGAATATATTTGCCAAGTTTGATG